CAAGTGAAGGCTTGAATTTCTTCTTCAGTTCTTTCAGCCTGAGAGATGCTGGACATGTTCTTTGGTTTTCTAATTCCAGGTCTTTGAACATTATAATACTTTTGTCTTTTACAGTGGCCCCTGAAATTTTCTATTCAGCTCTTTGACTTCGTCATTTGTTTTAACATGTGTTTACTGGAGAGCAAGTTTTAGTCTTTTCTGACATCCATCTTGGTCTTTCATTTCTTTTTTCTGTCCTTTTAGTAACCTTTATTTTCTTCCTCTATGATGTTCTTTGATGTCATCCTATAGCTCTTCTGCCTTTTGCTCATTAGTACATAAATCATCAAATCTGTTCTTGAGATGGTTTCTAAATTCAGGTGGGATATGTTCAAGGTCATATTTTGGCTCTCTTGGATTAGCTTTAATTTTCTTTAGCTTCAGCCTGAACTTGTATATAAGCAATTGATGGTCTGTTCCAGTCTATCCCTGGCCTTGTTTTGGCTGATAATATGGAGCCGTTCCATTGATGCTTCCCACAGATGTAGTCAATTTGATTCCTGTTTATTCCATCTGGTGAGGTCTATGTGTATAGTCACCTTTTACGTTGGTCTTGTAAAATTTTATCATGGGATTTCCAGCATCAATTCTATCACCAAAGCCATATTTTCCAGTGACTTATCCTTCCTCTTTGTTTCCACTCTTTACATTCCAATCACCAGTTTGACCAATTCCAGACTGAAGAAGTTAGTAGAATTCTTCAATTTCATCATCACTGATTTTAGTGGGTGTTGTGTACATTTGGATAATAGTGACATTAATTGGTCATCCTTATAGTTGTATGGATATTATCCTACCACACACAGCACTGTACTTCACGTCAGATCCTGAAATGTTCTTTTTAACAATGAATGCGACACCACTCTTTTTCAATTTTTCATTCCCAGCACAGTAAACCACATAATTGTCTTGTTCATAAAGGCCAATACCAGTCCATTTCAGTTCACTAATGACAACTTCCAATTTTCTTAGATTCATACTTCATACATTCCATGTTCTGACTATTAATTTTGAGTGGTGCTCCATCAGCAAATGAAGGTCCTGAAAGCTAAAGCATCATCATGGTCAAATCTATTTTGAGGAGGCAGCTCTTCCCCAGTTGCATTATGAATGCTACAACCTGATGAATTCATCTTCCAGCACTGTATCTGACAATATTCTGGTGTTATTCATAATGTTTTCATCTTTCAGCACTATATCCGACAATGTTCTGCGGCTATTCATAAAGTTTTCAGAGGCCAAACATTTAGAAGTAGTCCACCTATCCTTCTTCCTAGCCTGTCTTATTCTCGAAGCTCTGCTGAAACCTGTCTGGCATGGGTGATCCTGCTTGTACTCAAAATATGGTGGCATGGTCTCCAGCATCAGATCAACACACAAGCCACCATAGTGTGACAAACTGACAGACAAGTGGTAGACCATATTTCAGTTGCACCATTTACTAGGTATCTAACTCTGTGTAACTTTGGGCACATTACTCAAATTCTCTGAGCCTCAATTTTGTCATCAACAAAATGGAAAAAAAAATTTTTTTAATTACATTTCCATAAGTGGTTGTTTGGGATTATATGAGAATGGTAGCGTAGTGGTTACGAATCGGGATGCGAACCTTAAGGTCAGCAGTTTGAAACTACCAGCTGTTCCACAGGAGAAAGATGAGGCTTTCTGTTCCCATAAAGATTTACAGCCTCAGAAACCCTGTATGGGGTCATTATGAGTCGGAACTGACTCCATGGCACATAACAACAACAACATACATCAAGATTACTTTGTACAGTTACTGATATACATCAAATGCTTACTAAATGTTAGCTATTAGTATGATGGAGTCCTGGTGTGGTGCTTTAGGATCAGCACTGAACTGCTAACCACAATGTAGGTAGTTCGAACCCACCAGCTACTCCTTGGAAACCTTAAACAGTATCGCTGCGAGTCAGAACTTGATGGCACTCAACAACAATAGTAGTATGATTATTATAGCTATATTCCAGGTAATATTACATAACTGTATGGAATGAGCAACTACAAATTCATCATTTCAGCTTCTGGCCGGCCCCTCAACAATGCTGTAGTGAAAGTGTTCATTGGCTTATATGTATCACACATACTCTCTCTTCCCTAACTCCAATCCTCACAAATGATAACTTCAAGTCTTTGCTAATTCCCTATAAGCTCTCTATCCCATCATTTCCCTTCTTGGTGTCAACAGAGCCCTTGTCCTCTTACACTTCTGAGACCAGAGATCACCAGACAGTCAGTTTCATTTTCTTGCCTGTTGCATGAACTCATCCTCACCCTTCTCAGTGGAGGATGTGTTCCTTTCCCTGACTAAGACTATGTATGCTTCCCCTCCAGAATGCTAAGAAACCTCATCTCTTCAATCAATGACTTTCATCTTTCTGTGTTCTTGGTTCAGCCTTACTGGTTTTCCCTCTGAGGTCTAAAACACTACCAGTGCTACTTCTCCATCTACCTACTACTTCACATTCTCCAAACTGTCATGACCATGCTTCTTACACAAAAGTAAGGTATGAGAGTCTACTATCTAATTCTTTGTTCTTACTCCTCAAACCCTGAAGCAAAACTTCTTTTCCAGGACACTTCTATAACTGAAGCCAATAATGTGAACTTTAGATTAGTCTAAACTTAACTATACATAGTTAGTCGGACAAACACACTATTAGGATTCTGATAAGAAAAGCAGTGATTATAGACTTCTTTGTCTTACTTCTCTGATAAAAGAAATGCTTCTAAAATTTTACCACTAATGATGACAGGTTTTTAGAAGTTCTCTAATAGCTCCCATTTATCAGATAAAGTTTCCATCTCTAGTAGTTATCTGTTTACTTGTTTGTTTTATTGACAGGATTTGATGGGAGGTGGATAAGCGAGACAAGAATGGAAGAAGAGTGAGAACTCTAAACTGACCACCAGGTTTCTAGATTTGTGAGTGGGTGCACACACATGCCATTCACTAAGATTTTGAATGTAACACACAAAAAATTTAGGAGAGAAGATGAAGAGTTTGGTTAATTTTGAGGTACTACTGGGGCATTCAGATAAAGATATCCCACAGATCTATGCTATCCAATATGATACCAACCATCCACATGTGCCTACTGATGGGTGCGCTACGACGTAAATGTAATATTCATGAGCTGTAGTTTGCAATTCACAATCCTACAGGTGGTCATCCAAGTTGCAGATGTAGATGAATCTGACCATGAAATGTGTTGAGTAAGAAAGGGATTAATACATCTAAATACAATTTAATTTACAACTTCTCAGCAACATGTTTGCAAGGAAAAAGACATAACTGTAATATAAATACTGAGCTTCTATGTTCTACTGAAGTCAAATCACAGTTCACATAAGATATTATAGAAGTGTTACTTTAATTGAATGTAAGCTTTTTTTCTTCACCTCTATGAAAATTTTACATATATCCAAAGGAGCTTGGCTGAGAGTCCCATACAATCCAACACTGTAAACCAACCTGATGAAAAGGGTCATCTCTATATTCCTTTTTCACACAGGGATTAATCTGAGGATTTTCCACATCTGTCTCACTGGTACAAGATGAACGGCATTCTGCACAATGTAACAAGTCTTCCCATAATACATCTTCTGTTTCAGATTCTGGCCTTGTGCTCTCAGAATCCTGTCTCGAACTTGAACAGCGAGAGCTGCAACTAGTACCCGATTTAGGGGCATCCTGAAATCAAGATATTCTTTGACATTAATACAATTTATGTACCCTTGCCAACTCAAAGGATTCTTTACAGAACTATACATTGTTACTATTTGTTAAAACAACAAATACACCATCAAAGGACAGTGAAATGGCAAAACAGTTTTAAAATACATTTTAGGGTTTAACAAGAAACAAAATGTCCTCATATTAAACTTATTTAACAGCTCAGCTAAAGTGTCAGACAAAGGTTATGCTTGTTTTATCATAAACTTTACATGAAGTTCAGAATTCTGGCAGCCTGAATTCACATGGGCGGCAAAGTGAATGTGAACCGACTTTAATTAACATGTTTATTGGAGTTATTTCTTTTTAGCAACAATTTCAGCTTTTGTTTCTCAAATAGAAGTTCAGCAAATTAACATAAAATTAACAAATAATCAAAATCTGGCAGACAATTGCCATTTTATGTTTCAGAGACAATGTATGGAACTTTGAAAAGTAAAAAACTAAAAGGCATAAAAGTTAAATTATTTCTAATTAATTTGTTCCTAGGCGTATTTAATGTACCAAACAGATATTTTATAGCAAAATTCCTATATTTTGAAATTTTGATTTTATAAACAGCTCCAAAAAAATTATGCTAAATGAAAATGGTAATAATCATCCTTACCGTCAAGTTAACTCAAACTTTTGGATTTATTTTTAGCTGTCCTCTATCACTAAGATTTGTGAATTCTACCTATAAAATGCCTTATATTCATAACTTTCTTTTCACCAAGCCATCACCAGATTAGACTTTATCATCCACACCTTGACTGCAGCTGTTGTAGTTTAAGTGACATTGAGTTGTTTCCAACTGATAGTGATCTTGTATAGGATTTCTGAGGGGCAGCTGGTAGTTCTGAACCACTGACTTTGCAGTAAACAGTCTAGTGCTTATCCTACAGTGCCACAAGAGCTTTGTAATTGGCTCCTACCTAAAAGATCTTCCCTCTCTTTCCAGATTAACCTTCCAAATGTGCAGCTGTTCCTTTACAGTCTAACCAAAATCCTCCTGTAGCTTCCCACTCTAACTCAGCAAGCTCATCTTCCCAGATGACCTGATCTTTCACGTCTCTGCACAGCTTTCTCTTCCAATGAAATTGGGCTCAGCTCCTACAGATAGATGCCTTTCTTTGCTATCCTAGCCTTTGATTATGCTCCTACCTTAAATCATTAACCCTGTTCTCGATTAAAGCCTACTCAACAATGGCAGGAAAATACCCTTACTAGTTGGCTTACCTTACTTCTGAGATCAATTTCATCAATCACCAGTAGACTACAACTATGCATCTAAAAGAGGTGTTGAGAATAAAATATGCTACTCTAGCTTTCAACACAAATCTGGCTCAAGAAATGTCCATTTGAAGTTTTTTACCTCTAATGATTACTTTGTCCCTGAGCTGAGTCATTAGTATTTTTACTGACGTGGCAGTGCATTATGTACTATTTTTCAGCATTTGTAATATTGTCTGTGATATTTAAATATTTGTATATTTCATATTCTCAAATAGATCCTAAATAACACACTAAACATTAAGCCCACAAAGGAAAAAACCAAACACTTATTGCCATCTTCACCACAGATAGTAAAATATTTTGAATGAATGAGACACATCACTGATGACTGTGCTGCTGGTATTAGAACAGAGCACTATGAATATATATTTGCTTTGTTGACAGAGTGCTTGTTGTTATTGTTAAGTGTCATCCAGTCGGTTCCAACTCACAGCGATACTGTATTGGGTTTCCAAGAAGTGGCTGGTGAGATTGAACTGCTGACCTTGCAATTCAAACCAATCTTGTAGTCTAGTGCTTATCCTACAGCAGCACACCAGGACAGAGTGCTAATGGAAGTAGAATTGTTTGTTTGGGAGAAAAGTATAGTAAAACATTTATTTTAAGATCTGAGAAGAAAAATTACTGATATAAAAAGAGAGAAAAAAAATACAGAAAGGGGAAAGAAAGAGTACATCAGTCTGCTTTGTTTTATAAAAAGTACTCCAAACATATTTCATACTTGCTAAGTCAATCAGAATATCTGAAGCATAAGTAGTTTTCACCATAAAAGTTTTCATTAGATAGCAAGGCACAGAAACCACCAAATAGTCAGCAATTGCCCATTAAAATTTTTGAAAGCAAACTTAGCTATCAACAGTTTCTAATGCAGACTTGATTATCAGAAATAAGTAATATAATTAAAGGTCTGGTGACTGTTTAACTGAAATGATTGGGTGATTTTAGAACTAAGGAAATATCTGTAATTGTAAGTGTGTTTTGGCAAATACTGATTAATAAGATGGTTACCTTATAAATGTAAAATATAAAAATTATTGCCTATAACTGCCCACAAGTTAAAGAGAATTTTACCTGCAAGATTTAATGGCCACCTTGAATTTCACTACAAATTTGATGAGTAACATTTAAAAACATGAAATTTTAGAATTAATGAAAAGTGTTCTTATTTATTACATTTTATTTGGTTTGCTCTGTCATTTCAAATTTTTAAGCAGACAGCTAAAACTGAACAGATTATTTAAGGGAGTATTTATAGCATAAACGTTTTGTGTCAGGCTATCTGCACAGCCTTATTCAATAACAATCCAATGAGGCTGATCTTTTCATTTAGAGATGCAGAAACTGAAACTCAGGTTAAGTTTAGTAATTTCCCTAAAGTCACTTAAATAATGTGACTCCAAAACCATGGTTTTATTATTATGCTTCCCATCAAATGTCACTTCACTAGATAAAAAAAAGCTTGTATACAATGAATGAACGTCAAGAGCCACACCCCAGGCCCAAAGTGCTTTCCCAAACAATTCTGTAGTGCCTCCATCCTAAATACAATATATCACCAATAATCTGAAGAGTATAATCATTTGTACTATAAAGATGCAAAAGAACACTAGTCATCTTCTGTCTTAATTTAACTTATTCAAAACAGGGTGTTATTTTTTGTGTGTTTTTGTTATTTGTTTTTAATTCCATTTTGAAGTTTATTTAAGAGTGTCAACTGTTTTAGGAATGGAACACAGCTTTTAAACATCTTCAAGTTAACAGATGAAGAATCTGAAGATCAGATTTTATTTTTACGTAGTCTTTTAGGTCATTGAAAAACACTTAAACCAACCAAGTCCTATTATCTACTTACCAGCCTTACTCAGCTTGAAAGCTAGAAGATTTTAAGCAATATATTTACTTAGAATTTTACAAGTCGTGCTCTGCCATTCAAGACTCTCAATAATTCCAAAGAGCAAAGGTCAGAGTGAAAAAACTACCACCAAAGTCAAATAATTTATCTACGGGAGACAAGTGAAACAATGTCTGGCTCCCTTCTAGCAGCAACTAATTTTTAACTGTACATAGAGTAAGAAGCTGAAGTTCACAACTTTGGTTATCTGGCTTAATTATGAACAGGATATAGTTTATCAGATGATGTGGGTGATAAAACAATGAGCAGACACACTAGTGTGTTTGTGTCTGTCTAATAGCAGTCACTGAAAGAAGAAACAACCACAGTCACCATAAAGATTAACTACACATACCATCACAGAGAAGAGTACATACAAAGAACTCTTTGACTCTTAATTGCCAGAAGGCATATAGTCATATTCCAGCACAGCATAATAGTTGATTTTTCAGAAGATGACTTCTAAATCAAGTAAAAACAATAATAATGCAGTCCAAAAGGAGTAGATGTTTATCAAAAAGTTACATAAAGAATAATTCATTGGCCATGAAGCCAGAAAATGAAATGTTTTATCCTTAAAATAAAAACTGAAAATATCGTTGAATGAATTTTTCTATTTAAATAGTTTTGAGATATGAGACAGAGTTGGAAAAGAGTTTACCAAATAAAATCAATAAAGAAAAACAGAATTAAAAAAGGGGAAGAATACTGAACTTCACTGGTGACAGTAGTGTGAAGAAAGTCGCTGAGAATGTTTACTATTCTCAAAGTTATAAAGCCCTTCAAAGCATGGGAAAAGACTAACAAAGGTTCACAGCTTGTCTCTTCAAGCTGGTCTTCTTTAAAAGTAAACAGCAAACTGAATGATTGAGTTTTCAGAGACAAGGCACAAAAGAAGTGCAAATGTGCAAGCAGAATGCAGGACCCTATCCAGAGAAGCACCAGAGATGGAGGCAGAGATGGGGACATGGAGAGAGGGAGCAGCTGAGGACTGTGGACTCATGGAAAGAGAAAGACTGAGCGCTGGTGGCCAGGAGGCTTGCAATTATTATATATTCCTGAGTGTTTTTGTGTACATCTCCCCACCCCACCCCACAAAAAAAAAAGAAAATCAGAGGGAATGGAAGCAAATACTGTTGAATGATGATGCACGGAGGAGACTGTAATCAATGCAATAAACGAATGGTGTAAAGCCAATGTTCTCCCATGTAAACTATCACTCAGCTCAAAATTTTAAAAAATTGAAAAAAAAAAGGAGTGCAAATGTGTGCCTATCATTGCTTGTGCAGTACATGAATCCCAAACTGCTACTCTATAAAACTTAATCATACAACAATAAATATTAATACTTTTTAATATTTGGGAAATTTTTATTATTTAAAAATTTTTAATCTTCTTAATGGGACATCTTTGTTATTTAAAAAAATCAATTATTGGAAGATGTTGCAAGTTTGTAACATAAAAGGCATGTATATATGTAAGGTCAAAGTATATACCTCATTAGGGTAATGTTTCTTATAATGGTGTGACTTTCTATTCCGAAGAATGCTTTCAGAAGCCCTGTCCACATGACGGCGTAATGGGTATCCTGTTTCAGGACCTTCCTCGCTGGAGACTTCATCAGAGACATTTGTTACTGTCCTTTGGACATCCTAAGTTGGGAGTATAGAAAGAGGACTATATGTATTTTCTGACAGAACGGTAGTTTTAAAACAGCAAAATTTTAAATTATGCATATACACAAAAACATATACTGCAAACACTATTTTAAAATATCTTCAAAGGCCTCAGAGTAATTTATTAGTATTAGCTGATTTTCTGAAAAATGGGATAAAGTTACGCACCAACCTTTTTGTCAGATATTGTCCTGTAACATTTCTTTTCATGAGAGGATTTTAAATAGCTTACAAAATTAAGAAACATTAAATAGGATAAAAGCAAAATAGAGATCATGTAAAAGAACCTGAGAGAACACTAGAAGCTGGCCAATGGTGTGACTTTCTATTCTTTCTATTGCGATGAACTAATTATAATATTTTCTTAATTAAAAGATGCCATAAATTATAAGATCAACCACTGATTTAATAATGACTTAATGGGCTGTTGTTGTTGTTGTTAAGTGCTGTCAAGTCTGTTCCGATTCATTGCAACCCTGTATAGCATTTCTAAGAAGCAGCTGGTAGGTTTGAACCGCCGACCTTGTGTTAGCATTTCAGTGTTTACCCTGTAGTGTCGCAGCAGGACTCTGACTTAAAAGGCAGGGAGAGGTAAATGACAGGAGTATATGGTACACCTACCAGGCAGGTATTTTGTACATGTCTATTTTTATAAGAGACATCCAGAGCTTGTCATTTGAGAGCCTCTAGAGTATAAGTTTTATTATTAGCATCATGTTTCTCCCGTACATCTTTCAGTATGTAATGCATACCTGAAAATGTATCTGAACATTGTATGTTCACAAGCTTATCAAAAGACATATACTGAGAGGTGACCATGAAGGCTCAGATTATCAGAGAGTATGGGACAGAGTAAGGGACAATAGAAATATTTCACTGCAGTTTCATTCTCTTCCTTCCACAGCTAGCAGTATGAAAATGTATGTACCATCCAATAGTTACAAATACTTTACACAAGATTGGAAAATTTCTGATTTATTTTCCTTAACACAAAGTGTTGATCCTCATGTTCCTAACAAAAGCAATATCTTTTAATTTGACCATATTGAAAAAAAAATGGTGCTATTAGGAAAATTCAGCAAAACAAAAGAGACAGAAAACATTAGGTTTTATTACAATAAACCCATGGCCTGTTTAACTGTTCTGTTGAAAACTGTTTGAAAAAGCAAACAAAATACTATCATTCTTATCAAACGTATCTTTAATAAGAATTGTTTTCAGACTAAAAAACAGGACAAAACAGATATGCTGACACCAAGGATGTAGGAAAAAAACAGTAATATTTTCTAATAAGAATACAAATGGAAAATCAACTTCCTACTAAGCTTCTGAAATATTTTAGATGGCTCATTGAGTGGAAACTTTTACCCGTAAGTGGAAATGGGGAAAGAAAAGGTAAGGATTAACAAATACTAACCACAAATTATATAACACTTTAATATTTTTTAGGGGGTTGGGGAGAAATTCAAGTAATTCAGGAGCCAGGTTATATTGACCATCAAGTTTAATCATAAAACCTTACCTATTTTCTGCTTCATCAATGTGATTTGGCAGAATAAATTCAGGAAAAAATATACAATGTAAGGGCAACACCTACAAGTCACTTCATGTTAGCTCATGTAAAATAAAAAAACAACTGTTATAAACCACACTAACTTTGCTGTTCCTCAGTGTTTCTGTGTTCCAAGCTGTCTCTTCTGATCGAATGGTTTCACACAGAGATTCATGGTTTTGTATTCCAGCTTCACTGCTTTTAACAGTCTTTTTCCCATCAAGGGATACATAGCCATTGTCAGTCTCAGTGGATTTATCAATCGAATTCTTTGCTTTTTTTGATCTAAAAAGGAAAATATACAGAAGCATGTCATACACACTTAGCTTATTTTGGATGAGTTACTACTGATAGAAATTATGATCAATCGGGTAGTTATTTCTCAGAATGTTAATAGATATTCTTGTTTTTACAACAAATAATTTAGAAGTAAAATATTAGGTAAATAAATATGTATATTAATGTCCTAATTAGCTTATTTTATAGGTTTTGAAGTCTTAACAATAGCAATTCTAAGAGGCATGCCGTAACTTAGCAAGGGATTCTTAATCAAAATCTCCTCGTCTTTGAGCAAATTCTAGAATCAAAATTTTGCTCACTTTATTATGGTTAATAATATAATTTGAAATTTCATTTTTAAAAACTGCCTTAGTAATTATCAGGTTAAATAGCAATTAGGAGTTAAGCTTAGTTTTAATACTCTAGTGTACCCAAATATTTTGCCACTAGTACATATGAATACATAAATATACATGACAAATTCATTGTAATATACAATATAGAAATAGGAATTTTTGTAATATGAAAAAAGAAAATTTGACATAAGATTCTCAAGAATGGAAGAAATAAAAATGAAGCACAGAAAGAAAATAAAGAAATAACTTCTTTCACACACTCTAATACTATCTGAAAAAAAGTATTAGTAATTATGCAGCTTGTTAAATACTTAAAAGGCTTGGGTTGAGAATATTCATTTATATAAATTAGATTTTTCTCACTATACAAATTATAGCAAGGAAAATAAAAAACAAACTTATCTTGATTATCAGCAAATGTTTGAGGACTACTCATCAGAGAGTACAGTGGGTGAAAGAATGAGTATTCGAAAGAAATGATTAGTAGAAATATAACATTAAGTCTCAACAAAATTAACTGTGCTCAATGCAGCATAAGTCTGTCATAAAACATTACTGAAAAGCAACTGTATTTAATTATATGTAAATAATTCCCTTTGAACTCTCCCCAGAATATCAGTTTTGTAAGAAAGGACAAATAAAACTAGTACACCTACTCCTCACTTAACAATTCTCTCACTATCAGATATTTTGCATTTATGACCAGCATGAAGAATATTATCCATATTTTGGGCATCATCAATGTACACCAGGCAATAACAAAGACCGAAGTGTGAGTTGAGAGCAATGCTGGCCATGATGGTTAAGGTTATGTGTTAATTTAGCTAGCCTGCAAGTCATGCAGTGATGAACTCTGGCAGCTATGTAATGAATGATACACTCATCCTCCATTTTGTGATCTGATGTGATCATCCCTCCATTTCCACATAATAGTGATTTTCATACAGCAGCCTACTTTTTGGAATTTAACCATGTTGATAAGTGAGGAGCGGGTGCATACTGCTTTCATGTAAGTCAAAAAAGAATAGAATATGTAAAAGTCAGTCTATGAATATCTATTCTAAACACGGATTTTAAAAAATGCACAGAAAAACATCTTTAACACTATAGTTAATCAGTTCAACTGCAAACTGTCTTTTAGGAGTAGACACGACTTTAGAACACATCTGTTTTTCTAAACGTTCTTTTTGGAAATACGGATCTAAAGCACAAAGAGATCTGTATTTTTAAGCTCACACAGACAGAGATAAAGCTGAAATAGAGACCTGACTATGCAATTATATGTTCCACATTACTTCCAACTGCCAATTCTTTGGGAAACTGCCTGTTAGAATCTCTTCCTCACATACTCATCAATCTATAGAAAGTTTCCATCTTGTAAAAACAAGTCTCTCCATTCTGACCTTCTCCTGTAACTGTCCTAAATGAAAGAGACAGTCCATACTACCCATATGTGCTACAAGACTCTGATGCTTTTCAAAATTCATTCAGAACACATCTCCATGGAAATCCAAGACTCCACTCCAGAGTCTAATCTTGTGACCTTTTACTTTCTATATAATACTCAGAGGAATGGAGACACCAAGAGTGCAACAAGTCATAGAATAAAGATCAAGATTGGATGGAAAAGGGGGAAATGTGAATTATAGTAGAGAGTGGGCAAAAATAGAAAATAAAAAATGCAATGAAACTTGTGATTATCTCTGCCTAAAAAAGAAAGTGACAGAAACATCAGTTATCAATTGTTCCTTACACTCTTCCTCTAAACACTGTGTAATATGTAGGTGTAGAAAAAAATGAAAGGAAGTTAACTTACTTTTTTTTAAACACTGAAAATGTCAGAAAGTAAAAGACAGAGGATTGGCCTGAAGAGGTATTTATGAAGATGAATGAAAAGGATATAATCAATCAGATGTGACAGAGAGAGAGATGAGTGAGGTGAATGACGAGTTGGTAGAACCATTAGTCTAACAGGAAAACAAGAGAGGAATTAATTCCTGAAAAAAGATGGAAATGTTGAACCCGCAGTGTCCAGGGAGCATTCTGAGACAGAAAAATTGGCAGCTTGAATCATAGGCCTAGAAGTCAGTAGTCAAAGATGAAATGTTGCTATTGTTACATGCATTCAAGTTGGTTCTGACTCATAGTGACCCTGTATAGGGTTTGAGAGGAACAGCTGGTGGATGTGAACTGTCAATCTTGCGGTTAGCACTCCAGTGCTTATCCTATACCAAACACAGGACTAATTTATTGTGCCCTTTTCATTCACCTTTATAAATAACCTCTGCAGAACAATCCTCAATCTTTGAGTTTCTGACATTTTCAGTGTATGAAGTAAATTGATAATGTATGGAATAAGTAGAAATGTTGTTAAGTACCACCGAATTTGTTCTGACTCACAGTGACCTTGTATAGGGTTTCCAAGGAGTGGCTGGTGAATCTGAACTGCCGACCTAGCAGTCCAGTGCTTATCCCACAGTGTCACACCAGGACTCTTACTAGAAATTGTTATTGTTAAGTACTGTTGAGTCAGTTCCAACTCATAGCAACCCTGTGTGGGATTTCTGAGGAGCAACTGGTGGGTTTATACTGCTGACCTAGTGGTTTTCAGTCTAGTGCTGACCTTACAGAGCCACAGTAGAAATCATGCCAGGAAAACTGGAAAAACATACAAAGTGATCAAAAACCCTGGAAGGTAAAAAAAACAGGGACCTACTGAAATGGGCTTTGAACCAGTGAAAACCATTGTCTTAAGCAGCTTTCTAAGGGAAATGCATTCTTTCTTTAACAGGGTAGGATAGAGACTATGATAAGTCAAGAAAAAAAGAGTTCTAACAGTACTCATTCCATATGATACCTTTCCCTTTCTCCCTTCCTTACTTCTGCTTGTTCCAATCTTCTGTTTCTTTCCCCACCTTCCCTTCAAAGTACACATAATACTATCAGTAGACAAGAACACCAAGTGACTAAGCTATAGTACATGTCTGATGCTTCCAATGCACCAAAAGCAAACTGCAAACCAAGCTGAATAGTGAAAGAAAATACAGAATGTAAGTACCACCCTCAGAATTTATGAAAAATCTTAAAAATATAAGCAGAGGTAGCTAGGCAGAGGCTGGTAATAAAAGCATTTGTGGAGTATCATGGGAATGAAATGGGAGGGGCAGCTCAGCGTCTGTCAATAATGGCAGCCAATATGATAAAAATTTACAACAGGATGCCTGCCAGTGGGACCAAGAAATGGGCTACATATAAGGGATTAATCAAATAAATAAGAATATTCAGGAAAGTAAGAACCGAATGTATTTTTTACTGACAGAGAAGGAAGATATGAATACAGAAAGGGGAAAGACAGGATCACTTCTGTGATAATGTATCTGAGTCCAAACTATCCATCCAATCAATGATTTATAATATATCTAGATTTGTTGTTATTGTTAAGTGTTGTCAAGTTCATTCTGACTATAGTATCTCTGTACAGGGTTCCCGAGGAGAAGCTGGTGGGTTTGAACTATCCACATTTTGGTTCACACTGACTTTGCAGTCCAGTGCTTATCCTACAGTGCTACACCAGGACTCCATATCTAAATAGATATAGAAATAAATGTTAAGGGACACACAAACATCAAAGTTCTGCCTACCAGGAAAGACTGGGGTAGTAACACTTTAGTGCCTAGATCTTGGTTTCTATACACCTTTTCAATTGGAAAAATGGGTGATTCCAGGGCAGGGCAGGGCAGATTCAAGTAGAATCAGGACCATTCTATTATGCCATCCTGGCGTCAGCATACGCAGACCCTGGGTTGATCAGTGGCCCTGTGACGTGGACGAAAATCCAATTCTGAGGACCTCCTCAGGATAGCGAGCCATGGACCCTGAGGGCCAAAGGAAGTGACCACCTGACGTCCCGGGTTCATTGGTTTTTGCGAACTCACTGGTTGGCTGTTGTTGTTAAGTGCCGTCGAGTCGGTTCCGACCCATAGCGACCCTGTACAGGGTTTCCAAGGCTGTAAATCTTTACGGGAGCAGAATGCCTCAT